CACAATACTAAACTCACATATGAGTCAAAAACAAATACACGTACACATATAGAGTTAATATCTCAAAAACCAAGGTCAACATATCAACATAGCTCACTGATTGTTTTCAAGCCACATAACACATATCCCGTATGTAACATATACAAAAATACAGTTTAAAAAACATGTAATCAATCATGCCAGAAAATCACAGTAGAAAATGCATGCATAGAAAGGTTATTATCACTCACAGTACAGAAGCCGAACTAAGAAAGAAGTCTCGAGTTACTCTCACTCGACTCACTGGTCCGGGTGTGCCTTTGCCGATGAATATGTAACCATAATACACACAAAATCATAACTAGTGCCAAAACTAGCACAAGAAAAGGACTTGGCAGCCTAAAACCCGCTCACACCCCACTCTGGGACCCTAGCACGTATCTTGAGGCTCATTACTCATCACCTAAGGCCCATCTGACTCACTAACACTTATCAAATTTCCTTAAACCCTTGAATCATAGTGAATCAACCTCCAAAAGCCTCAAACCAACCTAAATCAGCTTAAAACTGCCTTTAAACTGAACTGAATCGGCCATAAAACCTTCAAATTGGATTAAACTGGCCCCAAAACCCTATGAACTAGTCTGAACCGGTCAAGAATTGCCCAAAACAGGGCTAAACTGGCCATAGCAACCCTTGAACCAACCATAAAACACTAATTTCTATGCGGCACACTGAACCGCCTAATATTCCTATTGAACCAGTTGGTTATTTGATGAACCCAACCACCTCAAGATGTGAACTGGCCTTACCTACCCAAAACCGGTCTAAGTTCCTATAGAATCGGCCTAAAAACCTCTAAACTAGCCTTTGAACCAAAACAACCCTAAACCAGAACCCTAGTTATTATTAAATCATTTAATTCAAGATTATTTAATTCCTGCTATCCCCATTAAACCCTTATCCTTGATTTGGCTTGCTTCCGAGATACCATATCCTTGATTCTTCATTGGGTCGACTTACCGAGTCAACCCTCACCGAGGTAAATGCTAGACTGAGTCAACTCGCTAGTTAACTCAGCCTAACCCTAATACAGTGGCCCGGCCCACTAGCTGCGCCCAAACCGTCGAGCCTAAGCCTAAACAGGCTCAACCCCACCTAACAGCTTGGACCTAAAACCCCAGCCGGTTCCTTCATTCCTATCTGAAACCAGTATTCGAGTCTGCAATACAACCCGAAACACAAAAACTCGGAAAAAAAGGTTAAAGCCCCATACCTAGACTGATTGATGGTTAAGGATTGCCAATCTAGACCAGATGAACTAGACAAGTGCTTTAATTGGAGAAAATAAGCTGTCAAAAAGCCCTAAAAACTAGAAAAGTCGTTCGACAGTCCGTGAGTTCCATCAGCTGAAAAGCTTGCAATTTCTCTCTCACTCTAACTCAACACTTGAATTTATCAGAGGCCTTTACATAAGAAATTCAACCAAAATCATGCCAAATGATGAATAATTTGACAATAACAAATTCAGCACTCAGTGGACCTGCAAGTTATCTTTTTTATCAAAATCTAGTCCATGAAATTTTTATTTCTTTCAATTGAGCCCTTATGGATCTTTAATTGAGTCCCTGTATCCTATAATTCCTTCAAATTGACCCCAATCAAATTCAATTGAGCCCTAAACTTTCTAGATTCCTCAATTTAACCCCAAAACTCCTAATTCTTTCAATTAATTCCTCACGATTTTCAATTTGACCCCAAAATTTTTAATTTAAACACTTAGTCCCTAATCTTAATTAAACTAAAATTTGGGTTATGACAGTTGTATGCAAAGTGGCTCTGATACTATTTTGTCACGACCCAAGTACTAAATCCATGACCGCAATTAAGTTAGAATAGAATCCAACTTAGTAAGTTTAACTATCATACAATATTTTTATAATAACTTGAGAACTACTGACTCTAATAACTTGTTAAGCTTGAACCACTGGCCTAAAATACTTAGTTTCAAATTGTTTAATAGTAAACTCTAGTATTTTATAAATCATATCATATTATTATCAATGATGTAGGAAGAGATGTCACAATTTTAATTTAACCTATTATTATTTATTATTTACATTATATCAATTATATTTATATTTTATAACATATATATATTTGTATATTAAATAAAATATTCACTTTTACAAAATTCAAATACTTTTAAATATAAATTCGCTTTTGATAACCTTGATTAATATTAAATATGCCGTCTATAAAATTAATTTATTGATTTGAAATTAATAATTATGCCGGGAGACAATAATTCACGTGTTTCACTATAAAAATAAACATTATATCACATGCATAATATAGAGTATTTTTAACAATGTTTTGTATTGACCTCATGAAATGATATCCTCAGTTATTTGACTATGAAGAAAATAAATAAGAAACAAAAATTACCAAATATATCACGTCACCCAAGCCTTTGATTTTTTTAAAATTTTTCTGCATTTAACATCTTTTTTATAAAAGAAAAGTCTTAATTTTTATGACGTTTTGCTTGTTTTGAAAAAGTTAATTTGGTTTTACTTCAACAAAATTATATGCAAATGTGAAATGAACATCCATCTTTTGTCACAACATATCTTATTTAAATGTTAAAAAAATAAAAATTTAAAGTGTTTGGTTTATTAAAAAATATATTTTTTCTGGATTTTTGGTTTCTAAATTTTCAAATTGTTTGATTTAGTACCAAAAGACTGCATTATATTAATAAAGTTTCAAGACAATTAGCTTTTTATGAATCTGACTCTTTTTAAGTTTTGTTTTTTTTTTTGCAAACATAACATGTTGTTAGGAGAAAAAATTGGTCCAAAATATCCATTTTTTTATTTTTCTACTTTCGTATCTGATTTATGTGAAAAAATCAAACAAAGAAAACTTTTCTAAACAACCCAAAATATGAAAAATTGATTTTTTTAAGGACAATAAATTAAAAATTTTGAAATTACTTTTCAATTAAGCATTTTGAGTATGTTTGAATGAGCTTATTTTATAAACAAAACTTTTTTAATATAATAATACTTCTATTTTATTTTAGACTATTTATTTTTATTTTTAAAAAAAATATAATTTGTAAAAAAAAAAAAAAAAAGACAGTGCGATTATTTTTAGAAATTGGCTTGGCAAACTTTTGAAAATAATCATTACTGGATAGGAGAGAGGAATTACTCAAAAGGCATAATGTATTTTCTTGAACAAAAATACCCCAATCTAAATGTCAAAATAACAGTCTATGCCCTGTCATTTCCTCCTCTAGTCGATCATTGAGCATATCGAACACTGTCGTCTTCCTTCTTCCTCCTAGATTTAGTCATCCACTATCATTGCCATCACAAGGCAAAAACCATGATCGTTGAACACACTGACCAACAAGCATCTCCTACAACATCTAGAGGCGACTTGAAAAGCCTAGATCTCTTACACTACTGAGTTAATTTTTACTCGTAATATGCAGACTGACAAACATTCTTTACCGTTCTTGCATAATATCCCTTTTTGCTCGCTACATACCAACCATTTATGTACCTCTGTGAAAGTGAGCTGCCTGGATGGCTCTTCTCTATAGATGGAGACAATATAATATTGAGTAGTTTGTGATAAGAATAGGATCATACATTTGAAAAATTATAAGAAGGCAAGTGACTTTATTAATATGATCCATCTCTTTTTAAATATATTATTATTTTGTTAAATAGGTAATTGTATATGGTCTATATAATTCATATATATATATATATATTTTTATATATATATTAAAAGACTTGGGCTTGGCTTAACTTAAATTAAGAAAAAAAGTTAATAATTCATTTTATTTAATGAATTAATATGAAAATGACATAATTATTTTAAATAATTTGACAATTTGTTTTATATCTACCTGTTGAAAAACAACCATTGAAAATGATTGTTTGAATTTATATAGAAATGTATAAATCCTTTATAAGCTTGTTGTATCCTAAAAATCTTGATAAACACTCCGGTGACCTCCCTTGGGGAAGGCACCGGTACAATCCCCCTTTCTATGAGGGGGGCAAGGGGAGACTCGGCAGTGGGGCTCCCTCACATTGCAAGGGGCTCGGCAGTGGGATCCACCCCTTGTGAGAGGGATTGTACGGTACCCTCCTTTTAGAGAGGGCACGTAGAATTCTCCAAAAATTTTTATCTTTTTTTTATTCCAGTAATTAGATAAATAATATTTTAACATAATGTTTTGACGCCATAGGACTTTTGATAGTGTATTTCTAACATATAATTTTGGTAATCCTTGTAGATTTCAGGGATTCTAGTGATTGAGCTCCCATCGAACAATGATTGGCGGTGGAATTTCTCGGTTTCGTGGATGTCATCCTAGGAGAACCAACCACCTTTGACTCCTAGTCAAACATCCTCACCTTCATCTCTCAACCATCCATTGTTTTCGGCAGCCTTCAACTCGTTGAGTGCACCGCCAACAGCTTGTTGACTACACCGCCTTTAGCTCGTCGTCCTCATCAATTGATTCTCTTTACTCTATTTCTCTATCACTTTTTTTTCCTTCTGCAAAACCCAATGATGGAGAAGAAAAACAAACAAGGAAAAAATAACAATATTTTATGGTAATTTTACAAAAATAATTTTTTTTCTACATCCAAACAGTTAAAAAATATTTTTAAAAATAATATTAGAAAAATTACTTGTAAAAAAGTATATCCAAGAAAAACTATAAGAAAAGAATCTCGAAAATTTGGTAAATCAAAATTTTAAAAACTGAATTTTTTTCTTATATTGTTTCAAATTTTTAATTTTTTTCGTCGACCAAACCTCCCTCCTCCTCGGTTGATAATCCAGGAACGCTTCCTGATACGGAAGTCCAACCAAAGCAGCAGTCCTGATGATGGGCCATATTGAACCTATGAGGCCCAACTCACATTAGGCGGCTCACGGACCGCAAACTAAACATTTTTCCCGGGTAAATTCCTGTCTTTTGCGTAATGTTGTCGAGGTCCTCCACCACTTGTTTCCATGGCCGAGCTTTCTCCCTCTGCGAACACGCAGATACATGTATAGGAAGATACCGCTATTTCACTGAACATATGCGAAAGCAGCAGATCTACCAAGCACCGATGGCAACAACATCGTTTTTTTGCCCTGAACTCTGTTGTTTCAACCTCTTCATCTTCTTCGCTCGGTCTCCGTACAAGCACTATATTTCGACCTCGATTCTCCCGTCGAGTCAGAACCAGAGGAAGACCCACCCGACTATCAATCGCAGGCGCTAAAGCAGAAGTGAGAGAAGAGGACATTTTCATCATTGGGGCAGGAATAGCTGGCCTCGCCACAGCGGTTTCGCTTCACAGGTTTGGCTCAGAAAATTAGTAGTTCTTCGTCTTTGTACTGTGTTTTTGGAGAAAATGTGATTTTTTTTTGTTGCTTTCCATGCGTGATTTGAAGACTTGGGGTTCGGTCGATGGTTCTCGAGCAGGCAGAGTCGCTGCGGACGGGCGGAACCTCTCTGACGCTCTTCAAGAACGGGTGGAGGGTGTTGGACGCAATTGGTGTTGGAATGAGCTCAGAGCTCAATTTCTTGAAATTCAAGGGTACATCTTCTATTTGCGGTTTCAGTTTCCGTGATCGAAAATGATTAACATATAACTTGCTTGTTTTGCAGTGATACAGTTACTTACTACTATCATACATGTACTGATATTCATATAACATGTTAGAGTCCCATATTCATATATGTAATGGCTTTGATTCTGAAATGCTTATTTGTGCGTGTGTGTAGATACCGAATTAAATTAGAAAAGCAAATTAAGCAGTACTATAGTAGCAGCTATTGGAAATCTCCAGTTTCATGAACTCTATTTGGGAACTTCGCTAAAAATGGATACAGTAAGTCCAAGCAGAGGATTAAATGAGAAGAAACAAATTCAACCTCACATTATAACATGGGCAAAGGTTGATTTTCCTGGAGGTTAACAATTCAAGATTTCTGCTTCCTAATGGACCTGCAATATGGATAGCTTGTCGGGGGCACGGCTTGGACGGTTTCTCCAACCTAGCTCATAAATAGGCAGGCCATCAGTAATCAATCTTTGAGTTTCTATTTTCTGGTCACTGCAAGTCTGAATCTGCATTTAGTTACTTCTAAGAGTTTTGTCATGGTAAATCAGTTGAATTGATTGATGTGCAGCCAACTAAGTTGAAAGTGATTTGGCTGAGTAGAAATTGTTATCCTAGTTCAGGAAGTTTAGGTTCAATTGCAACAGAAGCATGTTAAAACAGTTGTGAAACAGAACATTCCATTAAGCAGCAGCAGAAGCAATTTTGTTTAGTTTATTATTTGAGAAGGGGGGGGGGGGGGGGGACCAAGCATTGTTTTTCATTGTTTGCTTTGTTTTTCAGTCTCTGTGTCACGACCACCAGTTGTGCCTCCCGAGCTGGGGCCATGACAGATTCTGTTATTCTTCTCTCCTGAACTTTTTCATGGCATCAGCTGTGCAGGATGGTAGTAAAGTCAGAAGATGGAAGGGAGCTGCGCTCCTTCAGGTTCAAAGATGAAGATGAAAGGTATCAACTATGCTCATCTCCTTAATACTGCTCATGTTGAAAATGTTATGCTTTATTTAATTAGTACATGAGGTACAGCCAAGAGGTTCGTGCTGTTGAGAGAAGGATACTTCTGGAGACTCTTGCCAATCAGCTGCCTCCAGATGTCATTACTTTTTCTGCAAAACTAGAAAAGATTGAAAGAAAGGATTCAAAAGAAATTATGCTGGAACTCACAGATGGGACAAAAATATCAACAAAGGTAAGCCTCTTTTAAGTTAAAGTTCTCCATTAAGCCGATTTTAGATTTCTTAACCAAGAATTAGAATTTGTTTGGCTGCTTCTTGTCTGGCCATTGCTTATCGTTTCCAAAATGAAACCCATAATGGCCTTGGAGCTCCACTGCAAGTCTGCAACCAATGCAGTCCACTGTTTTTTTCTTCTCTTTTACTTCTAGGTATGGTGTTCTTTAAATTTCTACCCCTTTTAACTGCCAAGGAAATTAAAAATTTTGGATTTCTCATTTAACAGATTGTGATTGGTTGTGATGGAATCCGCTCTCCAATTGCCAAGTGGATGGGGTTTTCAGAGCCCAAATACGTAGGACATTGTGCTTTTCGGGGACTTGGATTCTATCCTGATGGGCAGCCATATGAACCAAAAGTAAACTATATCTATGGAAGGGGAGTGCGAGCTGGATTTGTGCCCGTCTCTCCAACTAAAGTTTACTGGTTTGTCTGCTTTAACAGCTCCACTGCAGGTGCCAGTTCTGCATTTTTTTCTCTCAGAGGAAGTTCTGTTTTAGGGTAATTGTTTATTGATCCAACAGGCTGAGATCATGTTTGATAAAATTGATAATTAAATACTGAAAATTTTTCCTTAAAAAAGTGCTGAAAATTTTAAATATTAAATTTTTAATACCGGGATGGTTAATTGCAGATTTTTGAAATATAAAAATTTAATTATATATAATAGCTGCCAATTCAGATTTGGCATTAAACAATTAGCCAAATCTTTACGACTTTAAAAATGCATACATTTTTGGCATATTTTAAGATTGAAGTGATTCTACTAAATGCATTTCAGTTCAGGTTTAAACGCTTAATTATTTTATCAATAAGGCCTTAGTTTAAGTAGCCTAGGCTGAAGAATTGATTCGTCCTTTTTTTGGTCTTGTGATAGGTCCAAAGATCACTGACTCTTTGGTGTTAAAGAGACAAGCTTTAGATGTAGTAGGGAACTGGCCCTCAGAACTTTTGAACATTATTAATAACAGCCCAGATGACACGGTAATCAGAACCCCATTGGTGGATCGGTGGCTGTGGCCGGGCATAAGCCCTCCTGCTTCTGCTGGAAAAGTTGTGCTGGTGGGTGATGCGTGGCACCCGATGACTCCCAATCTAGGGCAAGGCGCTTGTTGTGCTTTGGAAGATGCAGTAATTCTTGCTAGAAAGCTTGCTGGTGCAATCAGGACCGGATCTGGTTCGGTGGAAGATGCTTTCAGATCTTATGGAAGTGAACGATGGCCCCGTGTCTTTCCCCTGACTGTTCGTGCTAATCTGGTGGGATCACTCTTGCAGTGGGATAATCCTGCGGTGTGTTCTGTACGGAACAATGTTATTATACCTAAGCTAGTTAGGCTTGGACCCATTTTGGAACATACAAATTTTGATTGTGAACCTTTGTACCAAATTTAGAATGTCAAATACATAGCAAGAATAAACCAATGTAATTTTTCAACTTCATTTTCTCTCTGCAATATAAAGCAATAAATACATTTATAATTCCATGTTCTGAATTTGCAGTAACTGGAAATTAACACCAAATGAAGAGGCTAGTACTCAGTGTGAATCCTTATGTTAAGTTATAGTGGGTGACTCAAGCTTACATTCTAAATATATTCAAAACAGACCCTTGACAGGGCTAACCCTTTGAATGGTTTCATGGTTTCATGGGTCTGCATCCGCCAACTGATTTGCTAAATCTGCTGCTGAAGTTATGGCAAGTTGCTTCTTGTACCACCGTCATCAATGCCTTGAACTGTCAAGCTCTGGACTCTGGCAACAACTGAACCACCTTTATTCACCACATCTACTGCTGTGTAGGAAAGCAAATAGCTTTGCATTTTAAGTACCTCAATTATTCTTTCTATCTATTTTTTTCTGCCAACAATATTTAGCAATATATTTAACACAGAAAGTAATCCACCCCTTCCCTCTAGAAAACAAATATAGGAATTTTTACACCACATGTACGCAAATATCAAGTTGTTTAAGTCAAACGGAAGCAATTTATACCATTTCTCCAATCCCTTTCAGTCAGATGGAAGCAATTTACGCCATCACTCTGTTTGGAGCTATTCACAGCAGATAGCAACCAATCTTCTATATATATAAAAGAAAGAATCATGAAAAAGGGAAAAAGAAAAAGAAACTCAACACTCACTCCTCCGAGCATAATTGCATGACATTTAAAGACATTATGATCACAAGGTTGAATAATAGGACGACCACTAACTCTTTCTATCTAACATTGCAACGACATGAAGTTCAAATATTATCATTAGAATACAGACTTGTAAATGTCGCATAATTTTCACCACCTTTTAGATGGAATTAACATCAAATAATAGCAATATGTGGGCAACCAACTAGGATGGTACATCAGATTGGATGACTGGAGGAGATCAATGCAAGCATGGATTTCAGAACCACTTGTTTTCTGCAGAGAAGCAAGCAAGTATCAAGGTCAATCACCTGCTAGTTTCTCACAATCGGCCATAAGTTGTTCATGAAATGAAGATCGTCAATACAGATTGTATTGTTTCAACATCAACTATACATTGCATTTTTTGCTATATATTACAATATCCACTAGCATGGTTCTGACCCAAAAAGCGTGATTGCTGCTTTAGCCGCGAGCATTCATCTCAAGTTACAATCAATATAGCCATGATTAATAATATCCTAGATGTCTCGCCTCATGGAAAAGGAACAACACAACCTATAATAGAACGTTGCTTTGCTTCAATCCCTGAAGCGGCAATAGACTTTCTTTCTTATCACCATCATCATCATCATCATTATTCTTATTATTATTATTTTGTGTAAATCGTACGAGTGAAAGAACTCCCAATCAAAATCCTGTCAGAGATGCTCGACACAAATAATAAATCCCTAACCAAAAAGAAAAAAAATCCTAATCCTTCACGATCTAATCCTCGAAAGATGCAGCAAGAGGGTTGGAACAAACAACAAACTCACGGGCTATCTGAGAAAATTTAAAAGTTATGATTACCTGGGCTGGAGAAGAACCAGAGAACGATGGCACATAAAACCAGCAAGACAGGGATGAGATGAACAGCGGCCTCGGCGGATCTGAGGCGCATCCTCTCCTTCTTTGCCACGTGGGATTGAGGATTATAAGTGGGTAGCTGGTCACCGGTGGCGTCTGACTCTGGCCCGAACCCATTCCCGGCGAAGACGACGCGTGGTTCGTGTACTCCTCCAAGGCTCGGCTCGCACTCGACGAACGGTGCATGTTATTGGCAGTATCAGAGAAACAAAGGAGATAGAGAGATAGAGAGATAGAGAGATGATCAGAATACCTCCGTGCGACGATTGTTGTATCTGGCTTCCACGATTAGGAATAAATTTGCGAAAACCTCATTCTCACATCTCCAGTGTTCAAAATTGTCTGCTGCCTGCCTCCACTCTGCGATAACGTATATTGCCTTTGGACCAACCCTGGGGTCAAGCAATAGACAGTCGAGAACCACATCTGGGCTTTGTCGATTACAAAATAAAATACAAAACCAGATCCTTAAAATTGAAAATATTAATAAAGTTTAGTTTTTAATTATTTAAATTCAAAAATTAATCCAAAATAAATCGTTTCATTTATTATTAGATATTAAAATGACGTTATATATTTAACTATTTTAATACCAAAAATTAAATATTTAAAATTTTCAATTTTAGATAGTAGGGGCAATATTTAGAGAGAATTAGAGTAATTAATGAATTTAATTTCACAAAGTTTCTCGCAGTACAACAACATAAAAATTTAAATGGATTAATTTTATTTTTATTAAAATGAGTTGTTAATAATTTTAGTAAAATGTTAATATATTCAACCCATCAGTAATTTTTTTACTTTATTTTAAAATCTTTAACGATATTTAATTCCAATGAAATTAAAATAACTTTTAAAAATAATAATTTTTTAACGTTAAAATGATGAGATTCTCTTTGACCGGAATAATCCTACATTGGTAAAAACAATAATAGTAGACATGGTAGACGAGACAGAAGATCTTTGGTTGGCTTGGCTGGATTGTGGGAGTGACTTAGGCGCGGCTGCACCGTGTGGGTCCCTACAGGAGACAAATTCTCTTGGGGGGCTCTTGGACAATATCGCCCTCCAGCCGTACGTTGTCGTTCTTTCTTCTAGAAATAATTTATTTTTGAAACGCTTACTTCTAGAAATGTTGAGCACATAAATTTATTATTTATTTTTCTAAATTACTGATATTTTAAAGTCCTAAATGGCTCAAAAAATATTTATTAATAATTTAAAAATTCTAGAAAGTTCTATATAAATTATAAATGTTAAAATTCTAAAAAATAAAATGGCAAAAAATTCAAATTCAAGGAAATAAGACATTGTTAGCATGTCCCCCCACGTTGGTCATTTACTCAGAGTACATGTCATAATAATTGATTTTGAAAATCTAAAATTATTTCTTTTGAAAAATAAAAAGTGGTTGCTACACCTCACGAAACACAGGAGCCTAGCTGGGAAACTCCATCAATTGCTGACACGTGGCAGCAGAATTTCAATTTACTACGTCACCCTCCCTCCCCAACTTCCACCCCACGACGACGTTGAAGTCTTTAAATAATCGGTAAAATACAGAGGTTCTTTCCATTTCCTGTCTGTTCTTTATTCTCTTTTCGGGGAGCTCTTATATCTGGGCGGTGATCTCAAGTCTTGCTCAATTCTCTCGTTGAGGAATTATACGTCTGCGTATTCGCCTTATCGTCGACGGTTAAGTTGATCTTAACGCCAAGCAGCGATGAATCCTGAATAGTAAGTTCGATTTCGAATTCTATATTAACTTCTTCAACTTGTGATGTTTTCCCGTGATTGTTGTTTACTTATGGTACAATTCGTGTAGATCTGTATGGATTTGTTGGGAATATGTTGTGAATTTGTTGGTGGATAATACCCTTAGGCCTACGGTGTTGTTTCTTGCTTGTTGCGTACTGTGATCTAATCAGTTATATGGTTTTAGATCTATTAAGTGTTATTTTTCTTTTTTGTTTGCGCCTCTTCGAGAAGGCTAATCCTGCCAATTTTCTTCTTCATGGATTATGTTTGAAGTTTCCAACTGGGAATCCATTTATGGATTACGAATTAATCCTATTCGCAGCCATGCGCATCTCTATTTGTAGTGACTGCCCTTTTGTGTGTGAAACCTGTATGTGTGTTTGTGTTTTGTTTAAGTTGGTGAAATTTAACTGGAACATCAAAAACATATGGGGCTTCCCTATCCCCCTCGCGATAAAGGTTCGCTATTTGGCCGAGAATTCAACTGAAGCTTGTCTAAATTAAGTAGGAGTGGAGTCTGGTATACTGCTTATTGAAGAAGAAGCAGAAACGTTCTAGTTTATTCAGCTTGAAATGACAAGATACAAGGGATCAGTTTTATTGTAGCTCTTGTATAAATTTGGGTGGAGTTGTTGCGGCCCCCGGGGGGGGGGGGGGGGGGGGGTTTGCTCTTTTGATGTGCTGTGTCAAAATCGTTTCCATGTCTGTCCTTCAGTTGATATATATGGACATATTGGATGTCCCTTCTTGTGTCGATATTTCCCCTTTATGCTTATGTATGCTACATTAGCAAGATTAACATATCTACCCTGCAATTTTCCCTAAGATATTCTGGGTTACTTCCTGTGATTTCTTATAGCAAGTTGTAGAGGTTACCTGAGTGCTCAGGTTATTGAATGCTTGGGTAGAGCAGTCATAGCTCCTACATAATCTCACCTTTTAATGTGGTCATGAGGGACTATATATCTTGTCCTAAGGGTTTAACATCTGTGGCTGCAGTGGCACGTGAGAGGACACAATGAGGGTTGTCGCCCTAATAAAATTTCATTTTTAAAAATAGGAAATAGCCATTGTCTTTATGCTTTTAATGGAAGGAACCACAAGTTTTTCAACTCTCGGGACTCAATAGTTTATTGACAGTTCAACACTTACAATTTTATTCAATTTGACTCTAAAAATGGTACTTGGCTATTGATGATACTAATGATTTATTGAATTGTATAGATATAGATAATCATGAAAGAATTGTAACTTTTGGTGTAATCAACTATTTTCCCTTCTTGAGCTAAATGATTTATTTTTCTGATTGATGAGTCAGAATAACCATTTTTTGGACAATTTTTATTGCATGAACTGTTTCATTAGTAATTTCGTTTGTCCTTATCTAATTTGATTTGGCATTTTATATTGGTGATTTGGACTTAAGAGGGTTTTGGACCTTTTGGTGGAATTCATCATTAGTTATTCCTAAGCAGCATATGCTAGCAAGCAATTCTTCTTTCAGCAGAATTATTTTATTGTTATACACCTAAAAGTTTAAGCAATTTTTTTTTTCTATGAAATTGGATTATAATTTCTGCTTCTATTGCAGGGTACTAATTGGTGAATTCTTGTAGGTTTAGATAGAGAGAGAGCTCTATCGATGAAATATATTTCTACATAATGGTTTTTTATCTCTCTCTTTCTCTCTCTCTCTATCTTCCTTGTTTGCAATAATTTGGTTTTTGAGGATTTTTTTTGATACAATTTCTGAGACCAGGTGGAATTCTATATTTATTTTATTTTTTGGTGTACGAGAATAATTTTGTCTTCCCGTGTTGATATACATTATCTTTCATTTTCTGTTATCATATGTAGTGACTACCTGTTTAAGCTCTTGCTCATTGGAGATTCAGGCGTTGGCAAATCATGTCTCCTTTTGAGGTTTGCTGTAAGTTCTTGAAATATCTCTAGCTATATGATATTTCATATTCCAATTTGGTTGAATAGACGGTTAAAATAGTTATTTATTTTTATGGTGTCTGTTCCCCACAATTTGTACTTATGTGCACATTTGCTAAGTCTTCTGTTCAGTAGTGAGAATGGATTTTTCCAATGTCTTTAACTGTTTTACTTTTTCTGTATTCAGGATGACTCCTATCTGGAAAGTTACATTAGCACTATCGGAGTGGATTTTGTAAGCATTATGCTTCATTTCAGCTGGTTTGAGCCACATTACTGTTGATGTTAATGTACAATAATAACTGTTCATATGTTCTTCCATGCAGAAAATCCGCACGGTTGAACAGGATGGAAAAACCATTAAACTCCAGATTGTAAGTGTTCATTGCATCTTAGCTTTTTCTTGTTATTGAGGCTATAAATTCCACTTAGGGTTCTAATAGTGCTTTGATGGAAATCTGTTAATCAAAACTCATTGTTACAACATTGAATTTTGTTGCTGTATTGCCTGGTGAAATTTTTGCTTAATGAAGACCAAATTTTGATAAAAGAAACATGGCAGATAGTTTTTGCTCATGAGAGAAGTAATCCTTTAGGCACGTTCTTGAGGTTGTTTGTCTACCATATGACTAATCTTTGTGTAAGCCTGAATAATATGATATTTTCTTTGTCTGTCATTTTGTTCTTTTTTTTTCTGGCTAACAATCATACAAGCATTTTCCTCTGGACATGCAGTGGGATACTGCTGGACAAGAACGTTTTAGGACAATCACCAGCAGTTACTATCGTGGTGCCCATGGCATTATTGTGAGGACTGAACTTCCATATATTGGTTTACTAACTGTGCTATATGTTAAAGGAATAAATCTCATTCTGCCTTTTCATATGCAGATTGTTTATGATGTGACAGACCAGGAGAGTTTTAACAATGTGAAGCAATGGTTAAATGAAATTGACCGCTATGCAAGTGAGAATGTAAACAAGCTTCTAGTTGGAAACAAGTGTGACCTTACAGCACAGAAGGTTGTGTCTTACGAAACTGCTAAGGTACTGCGAACTTGTTTTGTTTTCCTTTCATTGGTGATGTATCTCTTAGTTATCAAAGAAGATGATAGAATCTGATATCCGGGTTTAATGTCTATCCTTTTCAGGCATTTGCAGATGAAATTGGAATTCCTTTTATGGAAACAAGTGCAAAGAATTCCACCAATGTGGAACAGGCTTTCATGGCCATGGCTGCTGATATCAAAAACAGGTATTATATTCTTATGCCATGTTACATTCACTCGAGAAATTGAGGAAGATTACATTAAGTGTGTTAGTTTTTAACAGAGTTAAAACCCAAGAAGCATGACACAGACACAGTATTTGAAATCTCCCAACATTTCCATGCTTCCTAGGTTAGAACTTACAAAGCCGTTAATTTTATTTTGTATTTACAGGATGGCAAGCCAACCAGGCATGAACAATGCCAAGCCTCCAACAGTTAATATCCGAGGGCAGCCCGTAAACCAAAGGTCTGGTTGCTGCTCTACTTGAAGGGAGAAGCATGGAGATTTCACAGGGATGATATGCATGATTAGTCTGCCACTGCGTGTAAAACTAATTTCACTTCTCAACTTTAAGGTCTCATCCTCTTGCCTGTCCACCGTCTTGACACTGTTTAAACATTCATTCTTTTGAATGTACTGGAATTAAAGGATATTTTGTACAAAAGTAGAAATATTGATGAAAATCATTATTTGTCCTAATTTTTCTATCTTTTTAGTTGTAAATTCTCTCTCCTATGGCATGGATGCCGGCAATAATGAATATCTCCATTATGGTATATATTCATGGATTACTTCTGATGGCTCCTTTGTCACCTGGGCTTAGCCCGGTTTCACCAAAGCCTGGATAACACGTTGTTCAGGATTAGGGTAGGGCTTAAGGGTGGTGGTTAAAATTCTGTTTAGGGTTTGGCCAACACGCATCATCTCCTGCCTCAACCTAAATAAATAAATAAATATATATATATAAATGAAAATCAAAAAAAAAAAATTGTTCTGACATGCTATAAAAAACTTGTTTTTTAAATAAATTGAATATCTGTAATATGTAAATCAAATAACAATCTGTTTCATTTGGATTCACTCTTTCTATATTCATTTTTTTGAGATTTACTTTCTATTAAACAAGCTACAGAATTTTGTGTATGGCTCCTCTCCCGTCAACCCTTTTTGTGTTAACGTCATGTTTTTGTTTTTCCATTTTTGAATGCAGTTGTATCTGTAAATGAGATGATAGCTTGGCATAAAAAATGACAATAAGAAATTTGCTACTTTTGCTTGCCAATGAGAAAGCAACATGGTTCTATAGTAGTTAAGAGACATCTGTAAAGCTTGTTAATTTTTCTTTTTTGTGAAGTTCTCTATGGAAAAGGCCTTTAAACAGACACCCTTACTTAAAAAGCTGGAATTCTTGGCTGCAGTTCGTGGCTAAAAATGCCCTGTGAAACGGGGTTTAAGGGAAAAATAAATGGAAAAAACAAAGACGCTGCAGCTGGTCAGGTTTTCAAATACCAATGTCGCCAAGTAAAATCGTTTGCTAAGACTGAGACATCCTCAAAGATGAGCTTCGAGCATTATGAACCTCTTCTAAATTCTGATGTTCATTTTCCCAGCAACATCAGATGAAGTGTTTCTCTATAACAAGAAAATCCTAGGACAGCTGCAGATTTTCAAAGTTCACCAATAATCACCACAAGAGCAACTTCCTCCATTGAAATGATGGAACCTCGTCGTATCTCTCACAATAATCTCTCTCCCTTCTATTGCTGATATGTACTTGATGGCACGGTGGCAGTCACCGCACACCCTCAAGTTCTTGAACACCCGAATGGGAGCTCCCCATGGCATTTTGATCAGTCCAAAAGCAATCGCCAGCTTCTCACTGTGCCATAAAAGTAATTTCTCCTTCTGTTCCTCCTCAACATCATGCAAAGCATACTCGAGCTCCGGAATATAACCCATCAACTTTATTTTCTTCTCCAATTCATTCAGCTTCTCATGTATCACTTTCAGATCCCGGTGAAGTTTATCTCCTGATCTGAATTCATGAACAACACTCCCCACCTCAATCCAGCTATACCCGGGTGTCTTGATTACCTTATTGTCCTTCATTGATCGTCGGATTTTTGCAACACAGTCCCATCTGTTCATAGAAGCATAGACATTGGCTAGTTGGACATAACAGGCAGAACTTGAAGGGTCGAGCTCAAGCAAGTTCTTGGCAGCAAATTCAGCAAAGTCTAAATTCTTGTGGATCCTACAAGCACCTAACAGGGTCCCAAATATGGCATTGTGCGGTTTAAAAGGCATTTCTTTGATCAAACTTACGGCTTCAACTAGCTTACCAGCTCGGCCCAGAAGGTCAACCATACACGTGTAATGATCCACCTTCGCTTCAATCCCATAATCTCTTTGCATCGTGTTGAAGTATTGCACCCCAAGGTCAACTAATCCTGCGTGGTTACAAGCTGATAAAACTCCTACAAAGGTAATCCAATCTGGTTTGATTCCCGCATTTCTCATGTCATTAAACAAAGTAAGAGCCTTTTCCCCCGCACCATGTTGAGCAAATCCAGAAATCATTGCATTCCATGTAACCTGGTCTCTATGTGGCATTTCAACGAACAGTTTCCATGCATCCTGTAAATCTCCGCACTTACAGTACATGCTAATCAACGAGGTCACAACCGTTGTATCTGAAGACAAAACGGATTTAGAAGTAAGTTGATGAACTTGCTTACCCAACTTTAGTGCAGATAAATTACTACAACCCAATAGAACACTGCTAAAGCTTGATGGATTGGGTCTGATTCCAATTCCCACATTGTCCTGAATAGCTTTAATCCATCCTCTGCCTTGTTGTTTTCAACATAACCAGAAATCATAGCATTCCAGGTCACCAAATTCTTCACATGCATCTCTTTGAACATTTTCTCTGCCAATTCAACCTTACCAAACTTCATATACCCAGTTATTATGGCAGTCCAAGCAATCACAGTCTTAAATGGAGCCGCCCAAAACAACTCCAGAGCTGAATCCAAGTCTCCCGTTGCCACATAACCTGATACCATCGCGTTCCATGAGACACTATTTTTTTCCGGCATTATTGAAAAAATTTTCCATGCTTCGTCCATCATCCTATTCTGAGAAAAACCTGAAATCATCGTATTCCATGAAGCAGTGTCCTTATTGGGAATTTGATCAAAGAAAGTCCTGGCGGACTCAATGTCAAAGTTGTGCAGATAACAAGCCAGCAGTGTGTTGTATGAAACAGTGTCCGTTCAGGAATTTTGTCGAACATCTCGCGGGCTTCCACAACTTTTCCTGGCTTCTTCGAGTACCCAGCCAATATGGAATTCCACGTTACTGTAGTCCTAACCTTCATGCTTTCAAACACTCTCAAAGCTGAATCCAAATCACCAGATCGGATGAAGTCAGCAATCATTTTATTCGATGAACGACGCCAGCGAATTTACATCCATCAAGCTGGTATGGTCGTGGTGTCATGTAACGGGGAATGCCATGTGGGTTTTCTGTCGCGAGTATGGAGAAGAAGATGCGGTGAGTGGTTCTGCGTCTGAGTTTGCATCTGGGTTGTGGATTTTGGAAGTAGAGAAAGAATGGTTTGGCTGTTTGAACGGTGGGAAAGTTCTGCAGAGGTTCAAGGAATCAAGATTCCTGGTGGGTTTGAGAATATAATGATGCATTTGTCATTGTCGGAAGGGAGATGTTAACATGTGTAAGCGATCACAGATCAGAAAGGTCTCTCGTTTGCTATACGATATTTGCTCGTAGTGTGGGAAGACGATAGAGCATCCAGTCCCAAATACACGCGCGAGGATGGAGAGGAGCTTCTCTCGGGTGAATTAGAGAAGTGTCTTCACTTCTCCCTTAAAATTTAAATTATTTATTAATTAATTTAATCTTTTTATGAGAGAATACCTAATACGAGATTGGTTTGTCAGGAAGGGATGTTTTATAATAATACCTACTACAAATTTTGGGGTGATAGCACGGATCAGGGCCCTCCATTTTCAAATTTTTCTATCTTCTATTTTAATCAATTTGCATTATTAATTTTGCATTAATTGGTATATTTTTTTATATATTATGGAGTTAATAATTTAAATTATTCATATCATTATGGAGCATTTAAGTTACTTCTTTTTTCGTCATTTTTTTCAAAAATTAAGAGAGCAATTCTCATCAAAATAAGATTTGGATAATATTTGCTTGATTTAAATATAAAAAAAACTCATTTGGATATTTCTAAGTTGAAATAGACATAATACGAACTTTACGTTACTATATTTTTTATTTGGAAAATTCAAATTCAATAGTTCAAGAATTAAAATGCGCCTTCAAAGCAAAGATTCAATAATTTTACCTAAGATTATTTTACTGGGATTTTTGAAGTGAGGTTAAAAAAACCAACTTCTTTGTGAAGCCTTTTTATTTTTCAAATTTGATCGGGTAAATTATATTTCTATGTAAACTAATTTTCAAAAATAATCAACTTTTTTTAAAGTCTTACCACAAAATAAATATATAAAAAATACTAGAAGTCTGAAAAAATACAATTTCAAACATCATGTGATTCAAAGATGTAATCTTAAAAGAGAACAATTTACCTAAAAAGAATGAACAGCCACAAGTTAGGAAATGAAAAAATAGAAGAAATTCTAAATTACAAATGGTTTGGTCCATAATCGGCATGGGTTAGGCGGATCACACATATAAACATGTAGGCATATATAAATAAGATAAGCAAAGCTTTTAAGAGTTCGAGTTTCATATCAATCTGACAGCTCTAAATGCTTGCATTAAGCTGCATAATATAGTGAAAACTTCAGGCTTATAAAATGGATCTCTATTTCTACAACGGAAGAGATCCAAATGGATGCAGACTAAGACGGAAGACCTTTAATTCTGAAGAGAATGTTTTTCCTCCGTGCTTGGTTGAAACGAATTACTAGGACTGTGTAAGCAGAGCTCAAGTAACTAACAGCCCACCAACCAAGAGACTGGCAAGTTCACTAGTTACCAATAGTTTGTCGTCAATACACACATTCACACAAGATCTGCCTCGGGAAAATTCTGTTTTGAAAACAGAAAAATTAAACTCTTAATCTTGGGAATGATTTAAATCAAGTTCTTTGAACTACGGGAAGCTGATGTAGAAATTAGCATGCCCATAATGATAAAATATGATTGAAAAAAGTGAAGTAATCCAAATGTAACGCACAAGAGGTTGGAGATGCAAGCAAAAAGGACAAACCAAGACCTGAATGTAAGTTTAAAAGGCAGCTTGGCTCAAAACAGAGCACAAAATCGGCCAAACTACTACAAAAGAAGCACAAGGACCCAAAATTGTTCTTAATGGAACTCCAAAACCAAAACTGATCCAATAAAGAAGTAACACAAACTCCTAAAGATCTAAATATAAAGGGTATCCATGGAAGGCATAAACCCACAGAAAAGACATCTTAAATTTACACTCTTTGGATTCAAGTCTAAGTAATTTTAATACATTGGAACACACTATTTCTGTGGATATCCTGTATTGAAGAGCCTTCAAGGGATCACAAGAATCCCAAAAAGCAACAAATAACCCCAAAAAGATGAGAAGATGCAGGAGGGTAAAACCATAATCTCCTCACTTCCCACCCAAGGAGGGGAAGTGGCCAACATCATCAATGGATGGGGCTGCCACGTTGCTTGCCATGTTGCTTCCATTGTATCCTCTGGCACCACGGCCTCGCCCTCTGCCACGGCCCCCTGGACCGTAATACCTTTCCCCTTCAGCAGGCTTCAAAAACTCGTTTATGCTCACAGACTGCATTAAAAAGTAGCAACAATAAGAAAAGTCAAAACAAACTAGGAAAATATTGAAATTATTTTTACGTTGGGGTACGTGCAGTCACACTAGCATAAATATCCCAGGTATTCAGATTTTTCTGGTCACACATGCAACAAAATTTAGGGAAAGGAAAACAAAAGTACATCCCAATACTACCATGTGCAATCAGCAATGCTTAAATTATTGATTTAAAATCTTAAAAGGAACAACTTTAAAACTAATCCAAGGACATCAGCAAAATAGTCACAAAAATTTGCTCTTAAAAAGGTTATTGTTTTTCAAAAATAGAGGTACGCATAATGAATATCTGACTAGTAATAGCAACAATAAATAACCACTATGTTGTAATTGATATGAATATGTACTTACAGTTACATGACACTGCCTCCCCCTAGAGACCACGTTTTTTTAGTATACCAGCATAACTTGGGGAAGAGATAATAAAGAGATGATTAATTATCATTTAACTGAAAGGATGACTTTGAATGGAGCTGAATGGAACAAAGGATTCATGTAGTTGGATTTATTTTAGTCAAGTTGAATTGTGGCATAAATCCAAAGTGTAATATGAGGGGACATTCAGAACTTGCTTGGGCTCGCTGTTGAAAATGAGAATTCTACATAATGTAGAAGTTCCAACAGCATCGCATGAATAGTGAACTAAAATTTTTTTAATTTTGCAGAGGAAAATGAACAAAGACAAAAAAAAAAAAAAAGGCAAGTGCACAAATAATTTCACCTTTTTGAGCTATTTGTTGATAAACTAATTAAATACAAAATATCCATACAACTACATTATGGCACCCCATCACTACCTTTTCAGTAGACTGAGAAACAAACAGAGTTACCAGATAAGAGGAACTTGAAAGGTAACAAAGGGCAATAAATTTTGATACTTCGTTCCAATTATTGGGTGTTCAACACTTCCTGGTAGTGTAAATTGCGTCCAATCAAACACTTAAATATCTACTCATAGATAATAGATTAGTATACCTTTTTGACTTTCTCCTCTTTATCAGCATCTTTACGCTTATCCTTGTCAGAACCCTGATAATCAATTCAATGAAATATATGCTAGTTTAATATTGGCTTCATTGATTCATATCTAAAACAATGTTAATTATCAAAACCACAAAGTATCAGTGGTTCTCACCAGTTTCAAAAAGATGCTATCATCACTCTTCTTGCTTGAAAGAAGTTGCATGGATTCAAATTCTTTGTCCAAGACAACCTTCCTTTCTTCACCTTTCAAGGCCTGCAAAAGATCTCCTCTTCTCTTCAAGTACCTTCTCATACTCTTCCAGAGTCATCTCTATTATAAATGGAAAAAGGGCACCCAAAACAAACATAAGAGCAATGTCTTATAAACTGCTCTAATTTGTTAATCCAAGGCATATCAAGCTTGCAAAAAAAAGGGCTAAACTCAGGAAAAAAACATCATATAATCACCCATCCCATGTAAAAACCAAATTTGTCAACTAGCAAAAGTAGCCCTGGTTTTTTTGAACATTCATGCATTACAAACTCTTGATCCACACTTCTAAGGGTAATAATATAACTCTCCACCAAATTTAGGTGACATTTTATTGCCCCCCCCCCCCCCCAACTCTTTTAGAAAACAGGGTTTTCATGATAAGCCAATTTCTTGATCACAGTTACATAATCCTAGAACCCATGTCAAGTTTAGCCTACAATTTGTAAGAATTACACCCTTCCACCGCTAAATGGCCTGAATTTATCAATTTGGAAGTACATATTAACATATAATGTTCAACAACATAAAACTGTGAAAATGAAACCAGGGGAAAGGGAGGAAAAGGGAGCATTTTTAGCATTTTGTGTGCAGATGAGATAAGGAGGGTGCCAATTAAGGTTGACTCACTCTCAAATTTACAATGAGGTAACTAATACTGCCCCCTCCCTGATAAGATGTCATTGCACCAGATTATCCCATCACGCTGGCCAATATCATCCCTATTAACTTTGGAATGGTGCCCTAAGGGGTTGTTATCACAAATGTACTCCACTACCAAATCATGCCCAGAGGTTTTCTTCTCTTGAACTCACTAAAATTTCAAAAAGAGGAAGTAAAATTGCCATTAGCAACTCATCAAGTTATTTTTAATGGAGGACGGAAAATTGCCACTAACAACTCATCAAGTTAACTTCATTTAGTAAGAGATGACAACACATTTTACCTCGTTTTCAAAAAGATTGAAGGAAGACAAGATTGAATTTTAGCATCATAAATTTTCATTTAAAGCAGGGTCTGCTGCAAACTTCAAGCAAAAAAGACTCACCATAAAGAAATGAAGTTGCTCCACATATCTAACATAATAGAAAAATATAATCACCTTCTCTTCAGGCTCTTTTGCTTCAGGCTCATTCACAGGACTCTCCTTGCTGGCATCACCAGCATCTTCCATTCCCAATTGTTTTTCAGCATCCACCGTCTTCTCATTTTCCTTGACAGGTTCTTCATTTTCCCTAGATTTGAAGATATCAAAATAATCCTCAAAAATGAGATCATACAGTACCCAGCATGTTTAAATGACAAAAGGAGATCACAGCATTAATAGAATCAGATCAAAGTTGAATGTAAGTAAAGCAGAACTCACGGAGCAATTTCATCAGTGGGAGTTCCCCAATTCCCACGACCAGCACCTTCTCGCTTAACTTCATTCCTGTAAAGTGCAGCAATATGAATCATCCAGAAAGTACACTACATACACAAAGCAAAAAATAATGCAATATTCAACCTACAAATTAACAACTTCCAGTAGCAGTTTATGGCATAATGAATCTGCATAATTACTTACCCACGTCCAGTCCCACTACGGCGATCATACATCCTCCTAGGGTGTTCCTCTTCAGCAACTTCTCCATTGCCAAAGCCCCCCCCGGCGTGCACCCGAAAGCCACCATGAGGTCCACCATATCTGCGTCTTTCGGAAGGCTTTTCACCATCTCCATCTTCAGTAGGTTTGTACCCTCCAGAAAACCCATTATTACCACCTAAAGTATTCTCTCTATTCGATGAATCACGATTAAATCCACCACCACCACGCCCACGCCCATATCCACGACCACCACCACCACGGCTCCCTCCTCGAGCACCTTCATTCTTCGCCTCCCTCACTAGTTGACAAGACAGGAAAAAAAAAAAAAAAAACAGAGACATGCAGAGAGAGTTAGATCACAAAAAAATATAATAATTGTTTGATAAATCTTCAACATAAAAAAAATTATAATAAACTTGGATCAAGCACAAATTAAAAAAAATAAAAATTTTTGTGATCCTTCAGAAACGCTTCTAAGGAATGGCTTCTGAAACTGGGGTCTGTCAAATGTATTATTTATATCAAGAAAAAAAAACCTCACTTAGAATTGTTTTTGCACAGAATTTATATATTTTGTGCTTGAATATTGTTAATATTCTCTCTGCAAGTCAAGGTGTGGTGTGTAACTATAGAGAAAGAAAGCATGCACAGAAAAGATTCTATCAGAAGCCAAACCAATAAATTCATATGGGTTGTAGAAGAAAGCATGCACAGAAAAGATTCTATCAGAAGCCAAACAACATAAATTCATACGGGTTGTAGACAATAAGGGCCAAATTGAATAATGTATGTTCTTAGGATTACACAAGTGAAAGAAAAGACAGAATACTGATATGAGCATATATGGATAGTGAGAGTAACAATGATGGAGAGTGCACAAGTAACCCTGACTTGTAAATATAAAAAAATTAAAAATACTATTTATTTGGGAGTAATAAAAAGGATTCCCGTATTTAAAGGAAGTTTAATAGAGTAAGTTAATAAGAACAGTAGTGTCTGACTGGCTTCATTTTCTAATTTACTACTTCCTCTCAAATTCATGCAGATGGACTTCGGACTTTGCATGGAACATCTCTATTGTGACAGCTAGAGACATCCAAGTCACATAAATACCACTTCAACTAGAAATGCACCAATCAACAAAAATTAAAACTGACGAAACAAAGTCAACTTTTAGTTTCATTACTAAATTATCTGACGCTGGCTGATTAGGTAAGCGGCACAGAGCGCAACAATAAAAGAGACTATGACACACAGTGATATATAATGTACTCTTGTCCTGATTCAGCAAAACGTACTGTCAGTTACATAATTGACAGATGCAAGAAAATTGTATACATGCATGGAATAGGCCCATTCTCTTCAACAATTTTGTTGGTGGAACAGCTAGGAGAAAATTATGTCACTCTTCAATATACAAATATGCTGTCACAATATACGAGAATAAGAACTCGCAAAAACTGAACGAAAAACAATCGCCACTCCAAATAAACGCCAAAAACTACATGAAACAACATTAAGACCAACAACAAGAAGCACCCTTAATCCCCCCCCCCAAATGTTCTCAGCATTATTGAACCTACACAAGCAAATGATAAATTCACAGCGGTGTCCTAGAAAACTTATGACAAGCATGTCATTCACACTTCCATTTGATTTCATCTCATAGCTACCACGAGTAAGCGTGTATTGCACATAAAAAATGCACTTTTCATCTTATATGCACATGTATATTTAAAGGATTTTCTAATCAGAGACTTTACCGGCCTGCGCTGGAGGGAGAGGCTTTGAGGGCAACTTCGCCGCCTGAGCCGACTGAGCCGGAGCTGGGGCTTTCTTCGCCGCCAAGGGAAGCTTCTGCTGCTGAGCAGCGACTAGTTGACTCAGATCATCATTGTCATCGTCAACCAGAAGATCAAAAGGGTTCGTAGTTGCCATTTGTTATTAATACGAACAGAAACCGTGACGCAAAGCTCGAAGCCTTTCAAGTTTCAGAAGCTACCACGAACCCTTAGTTGTTCTTTAACTCCATAAGTAGATCTTAGATGCAATGACGACTGGAAAATATATGTAGAGATACTAAAGAAAGTGGACAAAAAAAGCAAGAGAGAGTGTACAGAGAGTGGGGACTCTGAAAACCCTAGCCGGAGAGGCAGAGGAATGACGAGGTGCCCAACCTGACCTCTAAAAACCCTAGTGGTAGTTATCAGGTGTGGCGTTGCACTGAATCGATGTATGGACTGTCTTTATCTGCCGAGGATGGAATCGTAGACAGCTCCGAGATCCGCAGGGTCTTCTTTGGCCTTTTAATTTAATACAAAAATATCCAAAATGGGTGAAGCGGGTTGGTTTCAAATGGGCTAATCCGAGACCCGGATCCAACAGGCTACAAGAAAATGCTTTTTATACACAATCAAAAACTCAGAGGAGATTATCTAATACATTAAAGTTTCAATATTCACATTTCCCATTAAATAAGAAGCTAAATTTCATTTTTGACGTATATTGAACTTCTGAAGTTAAGCATATGGTTGTATTTTTGAAATATCATTTATGATATTTTCATGCATTCGAAATAATTTATTGAATTTGACGAGTATTATTGATAAATGTGGGGTATATGTATTTTTCTTGCTTATTTTAAATCATAAGTTAAAATCAACGAGGTTGCTATATATTATTCTATCTTATTTGATTATAGATTTAAATAAAACAATTTTAGAGAAAATGAATGTAAATAGAATTAAAAATATTGATTTTTAAAAATTATAAGAAATTTTAAATCCATTTTTGAAAGAACAAACACCTTGTGAGTTTAGAGTCAAAATCAAACAAGCCCACTTTGACATAAGATGGGCTTGGGCTTGGATACGGGCCATATCAGATGAAAAGTTGTTGGTTTGGGTTTCAACTGTTGGTGGTTTTTCCAGGGGCTCATGGGCCATGCCCGTCAGCCCCATCTTGCCTGGCTGAAAAGCCATCACACGTGTGATCAATTTAGAACATATAAAAATACAGAGAACTTTGAAAAAGAGTGTTTTAGGGTCAACAAAAATAAGCTGGCTACAAAGACGGTTAAGTATCGCCTACGCAATTGGTTATATGAAGAAGCAAGTCCTGAGAACTATCATTAATTTCTTTTGACTAAGCTACTTATCTTCAGCTTGTTCCTCGTTTAAGGATAAGTCAAATATTTGATTCTTCAACGAAAAGCAAAACAAAATGTAAGCATCGGATTTCAAAATTTAAAGAGGCTTTTATGGAATCTGACTTTTTGAAGGAGAGTTTATGGGGGCGGGGGAATGTCGTATAAATAAAATTTTAAAATTAGTCTTAGATTGATTTTCAGAATAAATAAATAAGTGAATAAAGAGAATGTGACAAGGTCAAAAGATACCAAGCCATAGCAATCCACCCGAAATCCTAAATTTCTGTTCATAAATCAATTTTTACATATGAAAGTTTTATAGTGAGTATAGAATTGTAGTGCGAGATGAGAACCATGTTTACTACCTCTTCTCAATATATTTTTGTGCAAGAAGTGCCTTTCAACCCTTAACTATTGATTAATTGGAACTTAATTTTGTAGACAATAGTCAAGAAGAAAAAAAGTTTGGTGGTGGACTCGTGAGTGGGTCAAAATTGATGAAAAAATTGCTCGACTTTATAAACCACCTATATCGGATAAAAACCGAGTCTTGTATACTTTATTCAAAAGTTTAGCTAGATAAAAACATTTTTACCATGATAGTTAAAACAATATAATATACCAAAAAAAAGTTCATATTTATACCAGAGGATTTATGCTTATTTTATGACGTTCACAAGAATATAGTAGAAGCGGATATATACCTTAAGTAAATTTTATGTACTAACAATTGATCAATAATTACTTGACAATCTATACTCTCATATTATAAACACATATATTGCTTGACAATCTATACTCTCATATTGTAAACACATGTACTCTATCCCAATCCAAAATCCTCATTACGTATTTTATATTTTATTTTGTATTAGTATAATTAGTGAGATTATTAACTGTTTAAATTTAGTTTAAAAATTCTCCTAAATATTTGTGAATAAGAAGGATTAGCAATCACTTAAAAAAATAATTAAATAATAATAATATATAATAATAAAATGAAAAAAATTTATGATTACACGAGGGTCTCATTTTCCCTTTCTCCCACAATAATGATAAAAAATTTTCTACTTTAAAAAAAAAAAGAAAAAAAGAAAGAGAGTTACTTTTACAGGAAATAGAAGAGGGGAGAAATAAGAAAAGAGGAAAAGAAAGAGAATAAGGAATAGAAAGAGATGAAGGAGAGAGAGAGAAGGAAATCAAGAGGAAGAGCAGATGACGGAAACCAAGTTCAGGAAAATGGGAAATTGGTTGAATTCGGGTAAGTTTTTATTTTAAAAAATATATTTTTAAATCTATTTCTAATTTAGTTGTAGTTTAGATCCTTTTAATCGGTTTAAATTTTGGATTAAATTGTTGTTTTATGATGAAAAATCAATGAATAATTTCTATTAGTTTAGATTAAATTTTTATTAATTCATGTAAATTTTTGCTAAGAAAATGACTAAATTAGTTTTGTAAAAACAAGATTAAACTGACACTAAAATTTGTCTGAACTCTGATATAGAATTTTGCCGATACACCTACGGATTATTTTTCATAAAAAAATAATTATAACTCATTTTGTAAACGTGAGTATACCCTAATATACTAACTTAACAATGAGTATATTATAATATTTTGAGAATTTTCGAGTACGTATGTAGTAGAAACTTTAACCCCAAACAAAAATGATAGAAAAACGACCTAATTAGGAATACATCTCATGTATACATTAGTAGATTCATGTATTCATATACAATTTTGTCATGTTATTGATAGCGTATGTGGTTACACTTTAGGAGAAGTAAACCGGCCAGTCAGTGAGACAAACATGACTGAGTTTAGACACACACAGTATCAGTAGAGGTGAGTGATCTTTTTCCTAAATTCAGGATTTCCTAAAATAGTAAAACTAATAATTTCTTACTAATAAATGTTTATTTCAAAACCAAATGTTTTATTTTTGAAATGTTTTTATTTATATGTTATGATTATATTTTGCTATGTGAAATAGAAACAGGAATCTCATTTTTATGTCGTATGTTATATATGTGAATATTTGTAATTCACCTGGATAATTTACTTAGTAACCACATTAGTGTGACAGTACTACATGATTTATTTGCCTGATAGGGCCTTACGACACCAACAAGTTATGTGTATTCGTTTATGGGAGTGATGTCCTATAGAACGAGTCTCATGGTCAGTAATACCAAGTGAATTCTTATTATATTATGTTTTATATCTACGTGCACGTTAAACCTTATGTTTATTTATGAAATTTGTTATGTTTTTACTTTCATCTTAACCATTATAAGATATTTTGCTATTGGTGAATCTGTAGGCTTAATTGGTGAATTAGCCTTATTTTTTAAATTATAATCAGTGAATTGATATCTCACAGTATGATATTCTATATCAGTTTTGCTAATTTTACGAACTACTTTAATTTAAATATTATATGACATATTCCTATTTCACTGGTTTTAGTGAGAAAACCATTCATTGGGATACAAATCTAACCACTTATTTATTTTCAAATTTCAGTAGTAGAGACACGTAGCTATACTACGTGCATCCAGCATATCAATAACTTGCATTCTATAAATGTTGGGTCCCACTCTTATCAATAGTAGTTAATTTGGATTGTTATTTTTGAATGAAAGTTAGACAACTGTTTTGTATGTCGATCTTATTTTAGAAAGGGAGTTATGTAAGATAATTATATTTTCAGTTATATAATAATATCTTTAATTTTTCTGTGATGCCTTTATTAATATTTCTTTTTTATTTGTGAGTTGTACGTTTGACTCAATAGGTACGATAATTAAATAAATTTTAGCATCTCTAGTAAATTCGGAGCATCGAAAGTTGTTAAACTTTATTTTATTGTCACGCCTCACCGCGTTACGGGATGAGATGTGACATATACTTTGTCCTTTCTCATGTGAAGTGATTATAAAGTCTCCAACATATCTACACATTTTAAATCCCTAATACTATATATGGTATTTAGTAGAAATTCTCAATTTTTTGTGTACAGGAGAAAACACTAACCTTCGTGTTATTTATAGTGAGAACTATTAAAGGATAAAATTTATCTCTAAAATTGATTTACCTCAACTAATAAAATATTTTTCTCTATTGATATTTATCTCAACTAGGGATGTAAATGGATTTGGATTTTGCGGGTACCCGAACCATTCATCCGACTCGAATTCGGATTCGGGTCATTACAATTCGGTTTTTGGGTTGGATTTGGTTACATGTTATTATATTTTTCGAATTCGGGTTCGGATATGATTTTTATGTAATAATACCCATACCTATATATCCCGTATTTATATAATCGTATACCTATATCCAATTACCACATCATTACTTGAATTTCATTCATATATAATATAATATTTTATATATATACATGTATATATATAAATTTATATACATATAATCTATGATAAAATCCTAAAATATTTTTCTTATATGAGCATTATAATTCATAAGATATATAATATTGGAATTCAAAGATTTTTGAAAATATTATAAAAACAAATATTTACAAAAAAGAAAGAATTTAAACTATTTATATAAAAATATGTAATCATTAATTGAAAAGGAACATGTAATAAATTTAAATTACAATGGTAAAAACTAAACTTTGATAATTATACAATTCAAATTTAATAATTATTTTACTAAATATTTGACAACAATAAAATGGTTTTGAGAAGTAATACAAAACATAATTTATATGTGTTTATCATACACTAATAGTATAGTGATCAAATTATTATTCAATTTTGAC